TTAACCGGATGCCCACGCCCATCCTTGAAGGTCATTCTCCTTTCACCACTTTGTTTCCTACCTTGTCTCCTTTTCCCCTTACTCTCAGGGTTTTTGGGTGTGTATGTTTTGTTCATAATGACCAGGAGTAGACAAATTAGATGCATGATCCACTAAGTGTATCTTCCTTAGCTATTCTCGAACCCAAAAAGGGTACAAGTGTTATAACCCTAGTTCTCGACATTCCTTTGTGTGCCTTGATGTTAACTTCTTCGAATCTATTCCGTTTTTTCTGGGTCCGATGAATCTATTCCCCAAAATTCCACTTAAGTCCACCTAAGTCCACCACCAAGCACCCGATGCCTCCTAACAAGCAAGTACATTCTAGAAGTCTATGTCAGCAGTTAGTTACAACAAAAGCAATAAGATCCGAATTGTTGCTCAATCCTGTACTCAATATAAAAATAGTCATCGATGCCCAATAAATGGAATGGTTCTGATCTTAGCCCTTCATTTTCTCTACATAATTTTCTGTAGGAGCAAGAGCTTCCCCTCAAAGAGAGCTCCCGAGTTAGGTGGCTCCTAACAAGCTCCTACGGGTCCCACAGGTTTAAGCGATCTATAAGGAGGTCTAGATTAATAGGTCTACGATTTTGGTGCATTAACAAGATCAATAGTTTAAATAGTTTTGTTATAAAGTTTCTAGAATTATTGTTTTGCTTAATTTTGACATCATTAAGAATGTTTTTCAATTACCCTCCAAATAAGATCAACATCTTGTCACTTTAATAAATCTAGAAAATTTATGACCTTTTTTTTATCAATAACTGTGGATTGAATTAATATTAAAAATATGAGAAAATTACAGGGCAAGGGGGCTAAACAATCTTAGCTCCCAAGAACAACCATTAAACATCAAAAGAACAAAAATTACAAGACAACCCAAAAAATAGAATGTTTGTTCACCCCTTGTTTAGCTAGACCATCTGCCAAAGAGTTCCCACTTCTTTTTACCCATTTGTATTGGATTTCCATGTCCTTAGTCAGCCACTTGAATTTCCTCTTTTCATTATTGTAATTCCAAAGTCTAAGACTATCCTCTTTTAGCCAGTTTACCACCACTTCAGAAGCTCCTTCTATGATCAGCTTGTTAATATGCATATCCTTGATTCTTTGTACCCCTTCAAGAGCTACAAGAATCTCAGCTCTCAAAGAATCTCCCACCCCAACTGGTCCAGAATACATAGCTAACAAATTCCCTTGTTCATCTCTTATTACTCCTCCTATTCCGGATGGCCCTGGATTGCCCAAGCTGCTACCATTAAAGTTCAGTTTAACAAAGTCATGGGGTGAAGAGATCCAACAAACATTTGAGGCCTTCCTCATTGGAGTAAGTTCTGCTATCTCCTTTCACTTTCTTTGCAGCTCATCAACTGAGAATTCTGCGAACAGAGCCAAGGTTTTCAGCCAGTGTATAACCCTAATGTGGATGACCTCCACCATTGCTTCCAAAATTCTCTCCTTATCTGTAAATATTCATGAATTTCTCTCCTCCCAAATAGTCCAACAGACTACAGCCCTCATACACCTCCACATAAACTTGGCCCTTTTTGTTGGTCGAATCGGCATAAATGTGAATAGGCTTTGCACATTCGAAGGGGGGGGTCCACCTGCACCCAAACAAAGAAGTACACCACTCCCAAATGATGTTAGTGAACCGACAGAAGATTATTAAGTGATATCTAGACTCACCATCAGCTTTACAAATGACACACCAATGAAGACAAAAACAACTATTGGGTATTTTTCTTTGAAGTAAATCTGCTAATGTTAACTCTTTCCAAAAAGGCTTCCCAACAAAAACTCCCAACCTTAGGAGGTATAGGATGACACCACACCTCTTTAACAAGGAAAGACAAGCCAAAAGAAGAATGTGTGAGAGCACTAAATAAAGAGGCACAAGTGAAAGAACCAGAGGGGGTGAGAGTCCAAATTCTACTATCTGCCTTTGTTGTCTCTAGGAACACCCCTTCAAGAATGGATAACAGTGATGAGATACCATCAAGCTCTGTGTCCCTGATATCTCTTCGCAGGCCCAAATTCCAACCGACCCCAGAAATAGAATTAAAAGGAATAATGAATGAAGACATTGGTTCATTTTTAAAAGTGGAAAGGGCAAAAAGGCTTGGGAATTAGTCTTTTAGGGTGGAATCCCCAATCCAAACATGTTCCCAAAAATTAATAATATTGCCTGAGTGCAAGTCATACCTGATCCATGGAGAAAACAAAGGTAGAATAGCTTGAATAGCTTTCCAAGGAGATGCTCTTGTACTCCTTGCCAGAATCTCAGAGTCCCATCCATTTGTTACAACCCCATGAATACTTCCCACTATCTTCACCCAAAGTTTGTCCTTCTCCAATGAAAACCTCCAAAACCATTTCCACAGAAGAGCCAAGTTCCTATTCCTTATGTTCCCGATACCCAAACCTCCCTCCCTCTTACTCCTACAAACCATCTCCCACCCCACCTTATGGTCCTTCTCCTCCCCCGGCTCCCAGAGAAAGTCTCTCATTAGTTTTTCTAATCTACCAGCCACCTTTGTCGAAATCTTGAAAATTGACAAAAAGTAAACAGGAAGATTAGCTAAAGTAGACCTTATTAGAGTGGTTCTCCCTCCAAGAGACAAATAATTTTTCTTCCAAGTTGCTAATTTCTTTTCAAACCTCTCCACAACCGGAACCCAAAACTCACCTTTCTGAGGGCTATCACCCAATGGCAAACCGAGGTAATTAAGGGGCCAATTTGCTATTGCACATTCTAAGATGTTTGCAGCCTCAGAGATCTCCCCCTCGCCCATATTTACCCCAACTGTACAACTCTTCTCAAAATTCACCTTAAGGTTTGACATTTGCTTGAAAAGTTGTATAGTGAGCTTCAAATTTCTAATCCTATTAGGGTCCCCTGGTTCACAAAAGAGTATGGTGTCATCTGCAAATTGCAAATGTGTGAGTGGCACAAGCTCCCTCCCAACTCTCCAACCTCTGATTAAGCCCATGGAATCTGCTCTATAAATTAGTCTCCCCAGAACTTCAGCTACCAAAGTAAATAAAAATGGGAAGAGGGTGTCTCCTTGCCTAATCCCTCTCAAGGCTGGGAAGAAATCGACGACCACTGTCCCATTTAGTATGGAGTAATGGCAGTTCCTAATACAACCCAAGACCCATCTGCACCAATTATCCCCAAAACCAAAATTGGTCATCACCTCCATCAAGAAAGACCAATCCACCAAATCATAAGCCTTTTCCAAATCCAGTTTACAAATCACCCCTTTTTTCTTGGATCTCTTAAACTCCTCCAAGTTCTCATTTGCTATCAAAATCTGATCTGTTATCTGTCTCCCCTTCACAAAAGCTCCTTGATTATCTGCTATAATTGTTGGGAGCACTTTCCTTATCCTGATGGACAGCACCTTGGTGATAATCTTATAAAGGCTATTGACTAGGCTGATAGGCCTGAAATCCTTTGGGTGACATGCATTCCTCTTCTTAGGAACTAGTGCAATAAAAGTGTAGTTCAGCCCTGGGTTGATCACCCCTCTAGAGTGGAATTCGTCAAACACAGTCCATAGATCTTCCTTTAATATCTCCTTGCAATCTTGATAAAAAGCCATCGTAAAACCATCTGGGCCTGGTGCCTTTGATCTATCCATAGAGAACACTGTCTCTCTTATCTCTTCCACTTCAAATTTCCTTTCCAACCAATCACTATCCTCTATCTGCAAAGTTGCCCATTCCATACCCTCAATCCACACCCTACTATTTAGGGGTTTTCTAAAGATATAGACCTAAAGTGATTTGCAAAAGCCCCTACTATTTCTCTTTAGGTGGATATTGTAACCCCTTCAATCTCCAGACTTGATACAAAATTCCTTCTTCTTCCACTTGCCACCACATGAAAAAATTTGGTATTCCTATCCCCCTCCTTCAGCCATTTACACCTTGATTTTTGTCTCCAACTTATTTCCTCCTGAAGAAGATAATCCTCTAATTGTTTACGCAATTTCCATCTTAGCTCCTTATCTTCTTCTGTAAGACAACCCCTTTCTTCCTTGCCATCCAGGTCCTCAATTTGTGCAGTCACTATTTGCTTTCTTTCCTCTAATMTCCCAAACTCTAACAGATTCCACTCCTTGATTTTGCCTTTCAGATACTGGAGCTTCTTATGAAACCTCATTCCACTCCATTTCACTGTTAGATTGCTTTCTAGCCACCACTCTTTGACTTTCTTTATGAACCCCAGGTGTCCTAGCCACCATTTTAGTAAATATAAGTCTGTGAAGGGAGATGAATCACCGTATTTTTAAGTTTACCTTGGAGTTGTTTATTGTTTTTCTTTAATTGTAAAATTGCAGAGAATTCATTGTGTATTTTAAGATTTCAAGACTTTTGAGAGAGAGAGAGAGAGAAGTTCTTATATTCGAGTATCTTTTTAGGTTGGATAAGGGTTTACCTTAATCTTTTAGTACAATAAGTTGTTTCTAGTTAGCTATAAGTATAAAATGGAGTGTCTAAAAGGAGATCCAACCATCCAAGGTGTAATGTTGAATTTATAAATATAGTCCTCATAATTAAACTTCTAGAAGAGAAATAATGGAAAGAAAATTTGAAGTTTGTGGGGTGCCAAGATTTGGTGTTCTTGGAGGTTTTTTTCCCATTTTCTTTCTTCTCCATCTCTTTGTCTCTATACATATAATCTTTTTCTTTTCTTTCTCTTTTTTGTTCAATGCTTCAAATATGAAACTCTTCCATTTCCCCCTTCTTTCTACCATATCAAATCTGAATTCTTTCCTTACCAACCACATATACCCTAGGACATCTCCCCATCTCGCATCATGAGCGACTCAGATGCCTACAATACAAGCCACAAACCCCTAAAAATTGCTACTATTAGATTTAATCTATTGTTAGATAGATTAAATCTAACAACAACACAAAAGTGAAAATACCAATATAGTGCTTACCTCATCAACTGCATTATCCAGAAGTTCCGCTATTGCTGCAAAACAATAGAACCAAAATTTTGATATTATATAATAAATTGGTTATAGATAAACAAACAAATGAAAGCTATGCCATAAACTTATTGACCATAAATACCCAAAGCTATCAAAGTAAAGAACAGCCAAGATATAACCCATCTCTGGTGTTCAGAGAACCAAAAGATACAAAATTCCAACCATGTTCCCAACTCGTTATTTAAAATATAAATATATATATATATTAAAAGATACATAAGACAGTATATCAAAGATATATATATAACAGTATATAAGACAGTATATCAAAGATATATATATAATAGTATATATATATAAAAGATACATAAGACAGTATATCAAAGATATATATATATATAACAGTATATATATATGAAAGATTATATATAAAAGATATATATATATATATAAAAGATACATAAGACAGTATATCAAAGAAGAAAAAAGGATTTCAGTAACATCAGTAATTACAAGCAAAAACTAGATTAGAGACAATATGGCCAAATTAGAGGATTGTTTTCAAAATGAATATCAAAGTATAATGACAAGGGAAAAACATATAAAAGTACTAATAAACAAGAGGTTCATTCAATAACTCTTCGATTTAAAGTCAAGTTTAGGATATTTCTTTTACAAGATAGGATTTGAAAAAGATAGTAATTGATGGAGGCCAAAGTAGAGGTCAAGCAATAGCTGTGGGCTTGAAAAAAGCTTTTCTCATTGGATATATGTTAATATCCATATCCAAATCTAATTCCACGACTCATGGAGCTAATTGTGCCTAAAAACCATGGATATACCATCAAATAAGGATGGTTACATGAGAGCATTAAGCATTAAAGGAGTATATGGAACCAGAAGCGTTAGAATTTCTTAAGAGGTTTTTCTTAAACAAGAAATACCAAAATGGTGGTCAATGGCATAAGAAAGTGAAAGAGTAAATTGGAAACATAAAAGGCAGGTCCTTCTAAGTTGATTTGTATCGGAAGCATCATTAATTTCTACAAGAATGGTTATTAACTACAAGTTATCTTCATTAGCAAGTATTCTTTTGCTGTATAAACCATGTATTAGTTTGTTTCTGATTAAGACATTTTGCAGAACTTTTTGTGCATTTTACGTAATATGACTCATCAATACTTTTCTAATCCTAGGTCTCTGAAAAGTTGTTGCAACTCCAGTCTTGAATTTGAGTTCTATGGTTGATAGGAAATGATCATCACCCTTGAAGACTTATTCTAGAAAGAAGAAGGCCTTACAACAGGTCCTAATATGGCATAGTGATGATAATTATCAAAAAAAAATATGGCATAGTGATGATACTTGGGATTTGGATTGAATGAACACCAAGGGTATTTTTGTCATATTGCAACTTTTTGTGGAGTCCAGTGATAGGGTTTAATTTGTCTAGTTATAGTTTGTTTATGATTAAAATTTCAGTCATTGCATAAGTAGGATTAGAGTTATTGAGTCTTCTTTGAATTGAAATAGGATATGACAGCTTAGTTTGCGTCCTACTAGAATTATCGAGTCTAACAGTTTGACTCCTAAGACTATTATGAGTCTAACAGTTTGACTCCTAGGGTTATTATGAGTTTAGAGTCTATAAATATGTATGGAGGTTTTACACAAAGGCAATGAATTATATTGAGTTTTCTTCAGCTTATGCTAGCTATGGTGAGTGATTCTCATGCCCTAGAGTGATTCTAGGTACCCTGTGAGTGGTTCCAGGTAATTTTCTCTCTTCTTTCTCTCCCCATTTTCTCTCTTCTTTCTCTCCCCATTTTCTCTCTTCTTTCTCTCCCCATTTTCTCTCTTAATCCTTCAATGATTCTAGACACCCTGTGAGTGATTCCAGGTAACTTTCTCTCTTCTTTCTCTCCCCATTGTCTCTCTTATTCCTTCAAGAAGCCATTACAGCCATCGACAGCCATAAAACTCTAATCAATAAGTCCATTCAACATTCTCTAAGGACTAGGACTGAGCTGGTCCTACATCAGTTGGCATCAGAGCCAAGGTTATAGGCTGTTATCATCATGGCTACAAGTAGTGGCAAGCAGTACAGGGGTCGGCTAACTGATACATCAATGGTACAAATGTAACCCTATCAAATTTCCACCTCTTATTTATTTTGGTTTCTTTTGGATTTTTGTCCTAATAAGCATTATGTTATAACCCAAATCCTTTACCACAACCAACCTTGAATGCATTCCATTAAGAATCAATTTATGTTAATGATTTTGTATTTGTTTGTGTTGCATCAGTAGTTCAGTACTCCTCTTTTATCCAGTAACAAGGTTGAAAGAGCTCATTAATGGAACCTTTGAAAGGAAAATTTTAGGCCTGGTTTGTTTGCAATGCAAAGTATGGCAGTGCAAACAATTTGAGTGCATATTCTGGTTTGTTGGTTATTCAGTTTATGCCTAATTTTGTGTGTTTGCATTATGGACGAAGTAAAATGAAACCTTCAGCAATGTACATTAAAACCCAAAGAAAAAGTGAACCAAAAGCATTCTTTTAATTTTTATGCCCATGCATTTGTCATAGTACAAATGAAATTGCACTACAAACAAATGGAGCCTTAGGCTCAGTTTGCTTGCTGTAGGAATTTCATTTGCACTGGTGTAAATATATTGGATTACAAATAGGTTGAATGTAAATTCTGATTTATTGTTGCTTCAGATTTGACTTCATATTATTTGTGAGAAGTAAAATAGGAAGTAAAATGAAGCAGTTCCCACTTTATATGAAAGAGAGTGGAGGTAGAAGGAAAGTTATTTGTTTGGGAGTGAGGTAGGAAGCAAGATGATGTAATCCCCATTTTACCTTGGTATGCTTTTGGGAGGAAACCCAAGAGCAGATAGCTTCTGGAAACCAATAGTGGAAAGGTTGCTATAAAGTTAGCCTTATGGAAGGGAAACTATAATTCTTTGGGAGGAAGAATAGACTTGATAAAATCCACCCTAGCCAACTTACCCACTTACTACCTATCCACCTTTAGGATCCCAATTAAAATAGCTAAACAGCTCAAAAAAATGATGAGGGGCTTCTTGTGAGAGCTCACTTACTACCAATCCTTTAGGATCCCGGTTAAAATAGCTAAACAGCTAGGAAAAAACACAAATAAGGGAATACTTGTGGGAGATAGGAGATGAAAGGAAATATCATTTGGTGAAGTGGGAATAGGTGTGCAAACCTAAGGAGCAAGGAGGATTGGGTGTTGGGAATGTGATAAAAAAAGAATACAGCTCTTCTAGGAAAGTGGTTTTGGAGATTTCCCTTAAAAGGAGACAAACTATGAAACAAGGTTTTTGAAAGCATTCATGGTTAGTGATTTAAAAGGTGCCCTTAAGCGCACAGGCGAGGCGCATTTTAGGGTAGGTGCTTCACCCAAGTCCTAGGTGCAGCCCTTTCAAAAGGCGCACACCTGGTGCACCTGATGCACCTTGCACCTCAGCCCAGGCGTGCGCCTTTTGAAAGTTTAACGCTTTTTTCGCTCGCTCACCGAAGCTCCAAGAACCCCCTATTTGGTAATGTTGTTCATTCATTAAAATTAAAAAATCATTATTTTTTGTGTGGAAACTAAGAATTTAGGACCCTAACATGGACTTGTTTGGCCTTGCCTCGAGTAGTGTGGCAAAAAGGCAGCTTGTAGAATCAGGAATGTAATATGTTTTACATCACATTAGCTACTTGAAGTAATGCATTTGAGGAAAAAAAGAAATAGTGGGTTTTACATGCTTGAAAATGTTTTATATGTTTGATTTTATTTTTAAATGTCCATTTGAATATGCTTTACAGTTTATGTATTTTAATTTTAGGTAATAGGTCTTTTAAAACATTTATTTTAAAATTTAAGTTCATATTTCTTATTAATATTATGTTTAATATTTTTTTATTTTTTGCATTTATTGAATTTTCTGACATTTTTTATTTTTAGCATTTTTTGTATTTTTGCACCTTGCTTCAAAAAGGTGCACACTTCGCCTTGCGCATTTGAACGCAAATTGGCCCTTGCAACTTTTTTTCGCCTTGCGCTTTTAAAACATTGTTCATGGTGTAGAGAACAATGGTTGGGATGAAAAACTTGTGCCTCACATCCCCTTGGAAAGCAATATTTGAGGTATTGCATACCTTTCTTAATTTTATCCAATTTGATGTGGGTTGTGGGAACAAAATTGTATTCTAGAAAGACCTCTAGTTTGTTGCTACCCTGCCTGCATCGCCTGTGATAGACTCTCAACTCCCGATCCCTCTGACCACCCTCGCTACTGCAGCCCTCATCACCAACTGGAATAGGTAAGGGAACAGCCCCAAAAGTATTAACCCTGTCCTCACTGCACTCCCCCTGCAAAAAGGACCCAAATCTCCACGTTCACTACTCTCCCCCTGAGGAGAGACCCGAGAATAGTAGGGTGTTTCCTCAAAGAAAGTGACATCCATGGATACAAACTTCTTCCCTGAGACAGGATCATAACAACAATAACCCTTTTGAGTTTGTGCATAACCAAGAAAAATGCATTTGGAGGCCTTGGGCTCAAACTTGGAGTGATGGGGACCGAGAAGCTGAACAAAACAGGTACAACCAAATGTTTTGAGGGGAATAGTGAACAACTCCTCATTGGGGTATAGAAGGGAAAAATGAGGTTTCATATCAAGAACCCGGGAAGGAATCCGATTAATAAGATATACCGCCGTAAGGATAGCATCACCCCA